ATTTTTTTTTTTTTTTTTTTTTTTTTTTTTTGAAACTATTTTCTCTTATTGAAATTTATTATTGTTTTATTTTATTTTATTTTACTTTATTTTTTTTTTTAACTTAAAATTTTAAAACTATTATCTAAGTTTTAAATTTAAGAAGAAAAGAAATACTTTTATAAAAACATAGTCTTTGTGAATACAATGAAATTATATTTTTTTTTTTTTTAAAACAAAAAATCTTTTTTTCTAATATTATGTTTAAATAACAAAAATTAATTTTATATATTAATTTTTTTTATACAGTTTTTAATATCTAATGTAAATAAATTACACACTATAGCTAAATTATGTGATAATAATAAATATTATTATAAAAATGTAATAAAAAAAAGAGAGGGATATTGAAATCTTTGTTTATATAATTATAAAAATATTTTTTATTTCTATATCCGTCTGTATATATATATATATATATATGTGTTTTTTTTTTTTTTTTTTTTTTTTTTTTTTTATCTTTTTTTATTTCATACGTCTATATTTAAATTTAAAAAAAAATTTAAATAAAAAAGATATAAAAATATGAATCCTTTTCAAATTATGGATATTTAATAATAATGCAAATGAAATTTTTAATAAAATTTTAATCGAGTCAATTATTTTTTTATATAAAAATTGCAGAGAATATCTATATATTATATATTTATATTATAGATATTTCAAAAATAATGAAAAAAAAAGTTTTTAAATATAAGTTCATTTAATATTAATATATATTTATATATATAAAAACATTATTTGTATATTTTTTAATTAACAATTATATAAAAAAAGAGGATATTTTTCTCATATATATATATATATATATATTTATATATATTCATATTTATATGATTCTTTAATCATTAGACACGATTAAAATATATGAAAAAAGGTTTAACTCTTTATAAAATTCATTGATGAAAAAATAAAATTAAAATAAAAGAAAATATATTTTTTCATCTATATAATGAATAATTTATAATTTGTATCAAAAACAAAATAATGAAAATCTTTATTACAAAATCATTTGTATATTCATATATATTTATAAAAGATTAGAAAAAAAAAAAAAAAAAAAAAAAAAAAAGTAAAATATATTAAGAAGTAATTATAAATCAATAATATATCAATGATTTATAATTTTTTTTTTCTTTTTAAAATGATATATGTAAATTTAATTTAGATTATAAAAAAAGTATGTTTTATTTTTTTTACAGTTTTTGAATATCTAAAAAATTGCTTACGTATAATATATATTTAATAAGTTAACAAAAATAATATTATTCATTATTTAATTTATCTTTGATAATTTAAATTTAATAAATACACATATATATATATATTTTTATAAATATTTGAAAAATAGAAGAAATGCCTGAAATTAATAAAGAAAATTCTTCATGCTTATCTAACTCAAATAAAAAACAGTCATCTATTTTAAGTTTTTTTAAAATAAATGATACTAAAATAAAAAAAAATGATGGAAATATCAATAATTTAAATAATAAAATAGATATAAAAAAAGAAAATGAAAATAAAATATGTGATAACATAAAGGATAAAGATGAGGATTGTTTAAATAATGACAATAAAAATTTTAACAATAATAATGATAAAAATAAAGTTGAATTAAATTCAAAACTAAATACATTAGATAACATTACATCTAATATAGAAAAGAACAATGAAAAAGAAAATATTAAGATAAGTAACAATCTATTTGATAATGATATTCATAAAAATAATACATTTTTTAATCAAGAGTGCATTCTTAATGAAGAGTTAAGCACAGAAGAAGATATTATTATAAAAAAGAAAAGAAAAATTCTGCTTGATTCTTCAAGTGAAGATATAAATGATAATAAGCAAAAAGAACCAGTTAAAAATATGAACAACAAAGGCGTTGATGACAAACTAAACAACTTATTATATCAGCCAAATCAAAAAATAGAAGAAACCCTATTTAATGAAAAAAAGAGCAATGATATAAAGTATATACAAAGAAGAAAAGGAGAAGATACACAAAAGTCTCAAGAATTAGATTTTTTAAGAAATAAATATTTAAGTTTACCAATTAGTATGACAAATGACAAATTCCGATTATATATAGAACAATATTTTTTGTATTGTAATACTTTTGAGTTCCCAAAATGGATACAACCACAATATATAAGGGATAGTAATCTCAATAACCCGGAAGATCCTAATTATGATTGTACAACTATGTGGACTCCTTCACCTGATCATAAATGGGCTCTTGAATATAAACAAGCTCATTATACTCCTGGTATGCAACAATTTTGGAAGATTAAAGCTAAAAATTTTGATAAAATAATATTTTTTAAAATGGGAAGATTTTATGAAATATTTTATATAGATGCATGTATTATGCATACTATATGTGGTTTGAATTGGATGGGTGGAGAACAGAAACCACATCTAGGATTTCCTGAGCAATCATTACATTTTTATGCAAAAAAAGTTATTAATAGTGGGCACAAAGTTGTTGTAATTGAACAAATGGAAACACCTAAAGAATTAGAACAAAGAAACAGAGAATGCTCAGGGCCAAAAGATAAAGCTATTAAAAGAGAAGTTAATGAAATATATACAAAAGGAACAATATTACATGATAATATGCTAACTGCTGAAACAAAATATTTAGTTTGTTTTTATTTTGATGAAATAGAAGAGCTTGAAGATTCCAATAATCAATCAAAAGTTAAATGTAATTTTGGGTTTGTTGTTAGTGATATTGCTACTTCATATATAGCAGTTGGATATTGCAATGATGATGAATCACGAATAGAATTGAGAACAATACTTGCTCAGTTGTGCCCTGCAGAAATTTTATATTGCTCAAAAAATATTAATAAAGAAGTGTTATCTATTTTTAAAAATATTGCAGCATCTCCTGAATTAACTAGTCTAAACAACTTTCCAAATATAATTACATCTTTAGATGAAATTAATAAATATTTTGAAAATATGCCTAAAAGTTTAGAAATTTATAAAGAACAAAATAGCGTAATTTGCGCATTTGGGGGATTTATTATATATCTGAGATCATTATTATTAGATAAGAAAATTTTTAAATTTTGCAAAGTAGAGCATTATGATTTATTTAAAAAGGAGAATTATATGGTATTAGATGCAACCGCATTAAAACACTTAGAAATATTAGAAACGCAATCAGGAGATACCAAAAATTCTTTATATGATTACTTGAACAAAACGTGTACTAATTTCGGTGCTCGTAATTTAAGAAGGTGGATATGTAGCCCATTATTGGATTGCAAAAAAATTAATGAAAGATTAGATGTTGTAGAGTTTTTAAAAAAAAATGAGCATATTTTATCACTTATTAGATTAAAATTAAAGAAATTACCTGATATAGAAAGACTATTAAACAAAATATGTATTCAAGCGTCACAAAGTGAAAGAGGTGCAGTTTTTTTTGATAATATTGTAAACACAAAATTAAAGGAATTTGTAACTTTTTTAAATGCATTTAAAGAAATGGATACTTTATTAAAGGAGATAAATACAATAGATAAAGATGATGAATTACCTTCTCGTCTCTTTGAGATTTGTAACACACCTGATAATAAAAAAAACGATTTAAAAGGATCTTATCCAGATATAGAACATATTACAAATGAATTTTTGCAAAAAATTGAATTTGATGGAGAAAAAGAATATAAACCTGCCGAAGGTTGTGATGAAATAATTGATGTGATAAATAAGAAAGAAAAAGATATTGAAAATAAATTAAATCAAATATTAACTAATATGAAAAAATATCTGAAAATACCTACTTTGAAATTTGTTCATGCAAAATATAAGTATGAAGTAGAGTGTCCTGATAATGTTCCTAAATCTTTTTTAAAGGATGTTGAAATTACATCTGCTAAAAAGGGTTATGTTCGTGTTCAAAATGAAGAAATAAAAAATTATGTAGAGATGTTAGATGACATTGAGCAAGAAAAAAAAGATGCTATTTATCCATTTTTTCAAAAAATTTTTCAATTATTTTATACACATTATGAAAAATATATATCTGCAAGTAGGTTAATCGCAGAGTTAGACTGTTTACAAGCATTTTCATATGTAGCTTTAAACACTTCTTTTTCATTAACTAGGCCAATACTGCACCCAATATGTTATGATAATAAAGAAAAGGAGAAAAAAATAAATGAAGAAAAGAAAGTAGAAGAAACACACAATTCTCAGAACATTCTTAATAGTAGTGAAAATAAAAAACCAATCTTAATTTTAGAGAATAATATTCATCCTGTTGTTGCTACACTGATGCCTAATTTTATTTCAAATAATATTTATATGGGATGTGATAAAGAAGAACAATCTACTTTGTTATTAACAGGACCAAATATGGGAGGAAAAAGTACCTTGCTGCGTCAGACAGCTATTTCTGTTATTTTAGCACAGATAGGTGCATTTGTACCTTGTACATATTGTGAATTAACTATTGTTGATAAGATTTTTACAAGGTTAGGATCAAGTGATAACTTATTTGAGGGAAAAAGTACTTTCTTAGTAGAGTTGGAAGACATTTCTAATTTATTAAAACAAAGTACAGAATACAGTTTAGCTATTTTAGATGAATTAGGTAGAGGAACTTCTTCTTTTGATGGAACAGCAATTGCATTATCCACTTTAGAACAAATATCGGATATAATTAAATGTAGATGTATTTTCTCAACACATTATCATTTATTAGTAGAAGAAGTTAAACATAATAAAAATATTTCTAACTATCACATGAGCTTAAGTATTGATGACGAACAAGAAAAAATTATATTTTTATATAAATTTATAAAAGGAGTGTGCCCAAAATCTTTTGGTATACATATAGCTAAATTAGCTGGTCTTCCAAAAGAAATCATTGATTTAGCACACGAAAAATCAATTTTATTTGAAAATGTAACAGATGAATTTTGTAAAATTATAAAATATAAAAATATTACACGTTCTTTATTAAATGCATTTGATGATCAAAGCTTAGCTTCCCTCTTTCACAAATTCAAAAAGGATTTTTCTTAAAACAAATAGAAAAAGAAACGAATTTCATTTTTTCATATATTAAAATTTCGTAATAATAACTTGAAAATATTTCATTAACATATACAAAATAATGAATTATTTAACATATTATATTAATATATATATATATATATATATATATATATATATATATATATATATATATATATATATAAATGTTATTAAGGAAAGATCTATAATTTTCTTTAATAAATAAAAAGACAATTGGCTTTTTTTAATTTTATATTTTTGTCAAAATAATTTCATTTCATTTTTTCACATAGTATATTCTTATTAGTTATATAGTATAATTTTATTAAATTCCTTTTTCAAATTTTTTAAAATTTCTTTCATTATTTTATTTTGTAAAAATAAATAAACTTTTTTTTTTTTATTATAAAATCTTAATATTTCTTTTTATTTTAATTTTTCTTTTTTTTTTTCAATATTAAACTAATATATTATATATTTTTCTTTATGAAAACAAATATTTTTAATGAAAACCATTAAATATTTTTTAATTATATCTTTTTTAAATTTTTATTTATTTTTTTTTTTCTTTTTTTTTTTTCAATATTATTTTAAACTAATATATTTTTCTTCATGAAAATAAATATTTTTAATAAAAACTATCATATATTTTTTAATTACATCTTTTTCAAATTTTTATTTATTTTTTTTTAACTTAGTCTTTTAGATATTAATTAATAAGAAATTAACTATTAAATTTTATATATATATATATATATATATAATTAATAAGCATACTGATAATTGAAAAAAATAAAAAATATTGTAAGAAAAAATGTATTTTTTAAATAAGCCTATATGTTTTAACTGATATCTTCAAATATAATGTATTGTTATTTTTTTAAAAATATATTTCTTTTGTACTAATTATTTTTATAACTATTTTTTCCTTTAATTTTAAAATAAATCTGATTATAATTTAAGAATATATATGAAAGTGTGTTGAAAAAATTAATTTTGAAGTACATTTTGATATTGAAAATTCTATATAATTTCATAAATAATGAAACAGACATGAATGTATGAACTGAAAGAAGAAATGCTCAACATAAATATTTAGTTAAAGAAAAACAGAGTAAAATATAATGAAATAAATTTGGATAAAAGGAAAATTATTTAGATATATATATTGTTAAAAAAAAAAAAAAAAAATACATGAAATTAGTGAATGCTAAATATATTCAAAACATAATATAATACTTTTGAATATTTATAATTTTTAGACTTTAAAAAACTATTTATATTAATTATTTGTATAAATATTTACATGAACACAACATTATATATATTTTTATATAACAAAAATGTATTAACATGAAATATTTTTTTTTTCATATATTATTTTACTATATTTATATAAAATATTTTTATAAAATAGTGAACGAATTATCATTAAGAAAAAAAAGAAATTTAATAGCAATTAATGCAAAGGATAGGCACTCCTTAAATTTAAGTAGAGGAGGAAATTTTATCAGACCGTTTTTAAATAAAAAAAATAATAGCAATAGTAAGAAAAAATTTGTTAAGAAGCTACTTTTTAAAAACATTTTACAAAATGAAAATATATTTTTAAATAAGGATGTGTTTTTAAAAAAAAGAGATAATTATATTAGTAAGATAGGAATTTTACTTAACAAGGAATGTCATTTTACAAAAAAAAAGAAAAATAAATGCTCCAGATTACTAGCTAAATTACCAGTTATAACCATAAATAAAAAATTATATCCAAAAGAACACAGTACAGATTACGAAAATGTGTTAAGGAAATATCATGTAACTTACATAAATTATAAAACTAGATTAAGGAGTAAAAAAGAAATTGATATACGTTCAATTGATGATTTATATGGGAAAATATATGATAGAAATGTTTTAAAAAAACAGTTTTATTTTTTTTTATATCATGATGATATAAACACATGCTATAATATCTTAAATGAAAATAGAAATGTACTAACAAGAGAAGAATCATTTAAAATATTAAATTCGTTACCTTACATTTTCTTTAATCATTTGAATTATATATACCCAACAGAAAATAATGTAGATGAAGTATTAAGTAAACTACTAAAAACGTACATTTTTCAGTATGGAAATGACAAAAATATTGATTTTTTAAATTTTAAATATAAATATAATGAATTAGATGAATATTGTCAACAATTAGAAAGAGATTTTATGAATGAACAAAGTCAATTAGAAAAAAAAAGACCGAATGAAAATTTAAGTAAGGAAGTTTTAGAATCAAATAAAAGTGATACAGTAAGTGTATTTACTACAAATAATGATAACTCTCTTGAGGAAAAGAAAGAGACTTTAAATTATGAAGACATTTATGATGATGAAAACAATACTAATTATGAAGAAAAATATAAACATATGAACTACGATTATAAAATAATTGAAGCAACGCAAAAATATAAAGAATTAATACATAAATTTAAGAATTATCCTCCTAATATAAAATTAGAAAAAGTACAATTATTGTATACAAAAATTTTAAGTATGAAAGGGAATAAAATATTTGAAGCATTTAGAAAACATGAAAGTATAAAAAAAAATAAAGAGAGAAAAATATATAGAAATGCAAGATTAAAACTAGATGTTAATAAGCTAACACCATACTTAAATGAACCAATCAAATATGATAAAAAAAAAAAAGAAGAAGTAAATAAATTATTTGAAAAATATGTAGAAGAGAAGGACTTAAAAAATTCTTGTTTAATAATAAGAAAATATACTAATTTAATAGATACAAAAAAATTGAAAAGCAGAGAAATAATGAAAAAGTTCTTAAAACTGCATGAGTACATATATAAATGTAATAAATATAATGAAAAAGAGTTGTCTCTTTTAAGAATGATCTATTATTCAACTGTTCAAAAACCTAGAGTTATCCGAAAAATATGTGAAGTAGGTATGTTAGATCAAGGAGAAAATATTACTCATAAAGAAGTATATGAGGAAGAATTAAATAGATACTTAAAACAAAGAAATGAATTATTTGATGAAAGGATGAAAAAAAAAAATATAAATATGGATGAAATAAGAGATTTCAGCTCAGCATATCCAATGGAATGGCTTCCAGTTATTCATAAAGATTTGTTTGAAGAAGTAGAAAAAGAAAGAAGTTTAAAAAATACAGACAAACATATTGTTAAAAAAAAAAAAGAATCTATTAAAAAATTATTTACTTCTATAACAGAACAAAATATAGACAATTCTTTAAATCCTCTTGAAATGGAAAAAAAAGATAAAGATAAGCCATATGATGAATTAAATGGAAAAAATGAATTAAAAATAGGAAGAAATATAATAAATTATAAAAAAATTATAAAAGGAAAAAATAAAAAAAAAAAAGATAAAACAAATAAACCAGACACAAAAACAACATAATTTTTTATAGAATAATTTATATATATAATCTTTGTATTATAATTAACATGTTTATATATATTCTATTATGAATCCTATTAAGCTTAATTAATATTACATTTAATACACTAAGAATTTTCTGAAATAAATTATTATTTATAATTAATTTTATATTTAAAAAAATTTTCGTTAAATTTATTGTTTATTGTAGTTTTTATTAATATATATCACAATAAATTAGTGGATTCTATTTTTTTTTTTTTTTTTTTTCTAATACTTCACAGGGTTATATATTTAAATATTTTTAGTTATATTTTTAGTTAAATATTTTATTATTGCATTGTTATATATGAAAAAAAAAAACCTTCATTATATAATATTATTTTTCTTTTTTTTGGTAATAGTTCTTTCCCATTTTTAAATATATCTATAATGAAAATATTTTTTCATTTTTAAGATATTTTTTTTTTTTTTATATATGAATTTATATAATATATATAATTTTCAAATTTTAAATAAAAAAAAGAAAAAAAAAAAAAAAAAATCTTTATTTAAAGCATATACAAATATAAATATTTATAATATTAATTTAATAAAATTAACAAATATCTAATATCTATGAAAAAAAGCAAACTACAAATTCATAAAAATTCCTTATAATGAACAATAATTTTGATACAGGGAAAAATTAGATAATACAAAAAATTTAGAAAGTATAACAAGAATATATATAATTTTTTAATTAGATAGTTAACAATTTTTTTTAAAATAAAGAAACAACGCAAAGAAAACAAATATCAACGAAATGAAAAAATTAAATGTAAAGTTAAAATCTTTAAAATACATAGAAGATATATATACATTAATTATTAGACTGATAGGAGTGATAAAGAAACGTGAAACACTATCAACATATTTAATAAAAACTGCAACAGTTAACCCACCAGTACTATGTAAAAAAATTAAGAAAAAAACATATATAAATTCATTAAATGAATCAAAATGCTGAAAAAAATAGTTTTTCAGTTTTTGTAAAAATAAAATTTCTTCATTTTTTATCTCTTTTTTTTCTTCTATATTAGACATTTTAAAATCCATATCTTTAGATAAATAATTTCTTCTATATTCACCTAATGGAATTTTATTATTAGAGTACTTATTAAATACTAGATGTACATCTATGTTTTTTGTTACTGAACCTATTATTATTGTAAAAAATGATAAGCACATACTTTGAAACCAGAAAGGAAATCTATAATTAGAATACAAAAATTCCAAATACACATTTGAAAATCCGCTTGTAAATGTAGCTAAAAAAGTAGTTAATGTTCCTATTAATATATTACCTATTTTATTATTATTATTATCAATATTATCAATACAAAAACTATTTCTATTATTATAATAATTAAAATTATTGTTACTTTTATTATTAGATTTAATATCACTCTCATAAATATTAATGTTGTTATTACTTATAAAATCATTATTTATATAATCAATTTCACCAAACTTTTTTCTGTTATTCCATAAAATATTTTTATTGATATTTTTATTCATAATTTTTTCAAATATATTTGCATTTTTATTTTCATCAAAAAAAAATGATAATACTCTGTTACTACTTAATGGTTTCTCTTTATGGTTAAGATATATGAAATTATTTTGATTCCTTATTCTTTCATTTAAATTATTATCCACTAATTCTTTATATAAATAACACTTACTTGTATTATTATCGATAGATGCATTTATTTTTTTTTTATATGTAGGATGATTATCATTTAAATTATAATCCTTCAAACATACCAAAGATAAAAATAAAAATATAATAGAAAGCATTTGTGTATTCCTAAATTTCTTTTTTAAAATTAATAAACTAAACATTACAACTGTTAAAATTCTAAATTGGTATAACAATTGAAATAATGGGGTTGGAATATTAGAGAGGGATATAAAAAAAAATATATTCTGAATATAATATAAAGTACTTGGTACTAATAGAGAAAGCATATATACTTTTTTTCTCGTAATTATATCACCTACATTTTTACTAACTAATTTCAAACTAAATTTATTTTCATTAAAATAAAAAAGGAAAGAAACACAAAATTTTATTATTTCTGATAAAAATATTATGCTTTCATTTTTCATTTTATAATTTATGTTTTTAACTTTCTTCATTCTTATCATCAATAAAGTTAAAACAGATTGTACTGTTAATACAACAAATAGTGCTGCTTTAAAAAATAAATCATTTTTAAATATATTTTTATCATTTCCATTATTTTTATATCTAGTTTTATTTATTCTTGTTGAATATTTTTTAACTTTCATTTCTTTCTCTTATTATCTATAATACATATATATATATATGATGTTGATAAAGTTTTGTTTTTATTTCTTTTTATGCCCTCTATATTTTATTTTCTCTTATTTATAATTTTTTTGTGTTCCATATAACCTTGCATCATTAGGCTTATAGGAATATTAATTTAATAAAAAAGCAATTTTTTAGTGATTGGTTTTCATTTATAATTTTTCTTTTTTTAATTTTTACATTTATCTATAGATATTTTTTTAAAACAGTAAAGTTATTATTTTACCAATGAGAAATTAAAGATTTTTAAAGTTAAATATAGATACATTTTATTAAAAATAAATTTGTAATTATATAAGTTATATGGAAGTACATTTCAATATTAAAAATATATATATTTAAATATTAAATATTAATTTTCTAAAAATTTATATAAATTTCTAAAAATTAAAAATAGATATTTCAGTGAATAACAATTTCATATTTTAAAAATTAAATGAACTCTATTTTTATATTATTTATCTATAAAAAAATATATTTTATTAAAAAATAAATTATTAAAAGAACTTCAAAAAAATAAAGAACATATCTATTTTTTTCAAATTATAAATACATAACTAAGCATGCATATTTAGAATTTATCTCTCAACTTTCCCACTTTTTTATTTTTTTTTATTTTACATTATTAATGATATTTTATCTATCATTAATCATTTTTGAGTAATTAACAAATGTAATTCATTTTTTCAATTTTTATTTTATTCTTATTTTTTTTAAGAATTTTATTCTTTGTTTTTAACTACATATCATTTATTAAATACTGTATTATTAAGGTATAGAAAAAAAATATGAAAAAAAAAAAAAATAAAATAAAACAAAAAAAAAAAAATATATATATATGTTGATTAAAAAATATTATTAATGTATACACACTAAAATATATATAATAAAAATAAAAAAAAATTTTTTATTCTTTTTAATTTTATCTTATTTATGAAATAATTTTTACAAATTTTCAGTATATCAAGTAGAAGAATACTTGATTAATTTATATATAAAATAAATTCTATATAAAAAAAAACAAACTATTAAAAATATAGATATTAAAATTTTTTATTATTACAAAAATAAAAATAAAAAAAAAAGTAAAACAAGTACTAAATATATATGGTAAAAATATTTTTTTAAAAATAATGAATAATAATATATGAAAATTTTTTAAACCTCACTATGTAAAAAATAAAAAAAAAAAGAGAAAAATCATTATATTTTACATGAATAAGATTAAATTTATTTTGGTAGAAAAATGATATTTATATATGCATATATGTATATATGTATATAAATGTATCAATTTTTTTTAAGTATCAAAGAAAAAATAATACATATATATATATATATATAAATATAAACAAATTAACATTTTCTATTAATAATGTCAAAACCATATTCTTCATATTCTTTTCTTGTAACAAAAAACGAATTAAAATTTTTAAAGGATGACAGAATACTACCACCTATCCATGACGAATATTGTTTATAATATTTACCCTGATTGAGAACTTGAATACATGGAAAGTTATCATTATTATTTATATCTAATTGATTAAATTCTTTAGTGAATCTTTGATTGAAATTATTAAATAAAGTAGTTGATCCTGTTAAAATAATACTACTTGCTAATTCATTTTTATATTTAATAGATGTTACTTTTTTTAATAAATTAAACAAAGTAGTAGATATTCCTTCAAATTTCTCATCTTTTGTAAATAAATTATTTAAATGATTACTCAATTTTGTATCATTTAATAAAGAAGGTGTAAACAATATTTCTGGTGCTATATTACTAAACTGACTAATATTTATATTTTGTCCATCTGGTAATATATATATTTCTATATTTTCATTAAAATTCATATTCTTTGCATCATTTATTTTATTTTCATTATCTGCCACCTCACATAAGTAAGTTTTTAAATCTTTTAAAGGATTATATTTTGCTTTATTGTGATAAGATAAATCAATATTTTCTTTTTTATATAGTTTTCTATTTTTTTTATAATATTCATAATATGGAACACAATATTCTTTATTATATTTTTCTAATAATTCCTCTAAAAATAAATCAATAGTATTACCACCTATATTATAAATTTTATAATTTTTGTCATCAATAACTCCTTCATTACAAAAAGAAAAATCTGTATAACATGAGCCAATATCAACTACTGAGCAAATATTTTTATTATATGCAAATCCGCTTAATATAGATTTTGAATTAAAATAAAGAGCAGGAATTTTATATTTTTCAAATAACAATTCAGATATTTTTGTTTTTATTTGCTTATTTCTTTTATTAGGTAAAGATAATAAATAAGAAAAGGTTTCTATGTTTTCATTAAAACCACAATTAACATTATTATATTTATTTATCATATTTTTTATGCTACCAATATCAATAAATTTGTTCTCAAGTATATCAAAATCAAAATAATTATTATTGTCAGCCCATTCTCTCAATATCTTCATTTTGTCTTCTTTATTATCTTTGTTTATTTTTTGTTCGCAGCTATTATTTTCGCATTTTCTATTGTCATTTTTTCCATCTAAAATAGTTTTACTATCCATATCAGTTTTGCATGATTCTTCTTGATAACTTTTCTCTTTTTTTATTAACTCATTGTCTACGTTATTTTCTTTTATTACAACATTTTCATTATTATTATTTAAATTATTTTGATTGTTTTCATTTATATCATTTAATTCTTCGCATTTATTTTCATTTTTATTACTTTCTTCAATATTATCAGAAAATTCGTTTCCTATATCTGATTGCTTGTATAACTTATCACCCACATATTCTTTTATTCTTTTTTCAAATAACTTACATATATATCTATCTCCAATAACATTCATAAATAAAATTCTCTCAAATACATCTTCATTTATATTAAAATAATTCCTATTATCAAGATACAAACAAGGTTTAACTTTGACATTTTCTAAAGCTTCTAAGTAAAACAGAGGATATATTAAATTAAATTGATGAAATTCTTCTTTTGAGCACAAACACTTTTTATAAATTTCATCTTTTACTTTTTTATATATATCAAGCGGAACACCAACATTTGAACTAAAAATATTTAAAGGATTTTCATCTCCAGAATATCCTATTTTCGTATTTTCAAATCCTAAATCAACAACTATGCTTAAAATATCATTATATGCATCCATTTATGTATATATATATATCTATATATACACACATAAACACATATACATTAATAAAAAATCGAAAAAAAGGAAAATAAAATACACTAAAATATTTTTAAAAAAATATATAACACTAATAAAAATGAGTATATAATTTATAAAAAAACATAAATGTAAACATACATAATTATAAAAAATCTGATCAAAAAACAATATTTTATACACGAAAAAAAAAAAAAAAAAAAAAAAAAAAAAGAAAAAAGCTATAGAATAATGAAAATAAAGATTATAAAAAAAATGTATATTATAAACAATTAATATTATAAATAAAAAAATGAAAAGTAAAAACGGTAAAAATAAAGTGTATTAAAAATAATTAAAACTTGAATCTATAAGAAAAAAAAAAAAAAGAAGAAAAAAAAATTTTTTTAGAATTTATATTGCTATTTTATTCTTTCATAACAGTACTGCAAATATAAATTATATTAGTTTTTTTTTTTTTTTTTTTTTTTTTTTTTTTTTTTTTTTT